AAATTTTATCAAAAAGCAATACGCAGGGAATACAAAAGTAGAAGATCATCCGCTAATTTTTTTTCTTACTCACATTTGAATAACAACTAGTATATTCAACATGACTGACCTAGCACAGGATATGAACAAACTCTCTGTTAACGGCAACGGCGCTCCTGCTGGCCAGAACGGCTCGGCCCAGGGTAACGGCGCTGACAAGCCAAAGAAGAGTCAATACGTTCCTCCCCATTTGAGAAACAGACCTCAAGGCCAAAGCAGAAACTTCGGTGGCAACGACTTTGGTGGCTCTGGTGGCCGTAACTTCGGTGGAAGCCGCGGTGGCTCCGGTTTCGGTGGTTCTGGTTTCGGTGGCGGCTCTGGATTCGGAGGCGGTCGCCGTGGTGGATTTGCCGGCAGAGACAACAAACCAAACCCACGTTCCGGCCAGGGCCGGTGGGCCGATGGCAAGCACGAGCCTTCTCCTCGTAACGAGAGAATCGAGGTCGACTTGTTTGGTTTGCCAGAGGAAGGTGTCCAGTCCTCTGGTATCAACTTTGACAATTATGACGACATCCCCGTGGAGGCCTCTGGTGATGATGTGCCTGATGCCATCACCTCCTTCACTGCCCCTCCTTTGGACGAGCTTATGGTTGAAAACATCACTATGTCTAGATTCACCAAGCCTACTCCAGTTCAGAAATACTCCGTGCCAATCGTGGCTAACGGCAGAGACTTGATGGCTTGTGCCCAGACTGGTTCCGGTAAGACTGGTGGTTTCTTGTTCCCAGTCTTGTCTGAGTGTTACAAGAACGGTCCCCTCCCAGTCCCAGAGACTGCTGGTGCCTTCTCTTTCAACAAGGTCTACCCTACCGTTTTGATCATGGCCCCAACCAGAGAGTTGGTTTCCCAGATCTTCGATGAGGCCAAGAAGTTCTGTTACAGATCTTGGGTTCGTCCCGCCGTCGCCTACGGTGGTGTTGACATTGGTCAGCAGATGAGAACCTTGCAAAGAGGTTGCGACTTGTTGGTCGCTGCCCCAGGTCGTTTGACCGATATGTTGGAGAGAGGCCGTGTCTCCTTGGCTAACGTCAAGTACTTGATTTTGGACGAGGCCGACAGAATGTTGGACATGGGTTTCGAACCACAGATTAGACATATTGTTCAGGAGTGTGACATGCCTGACGTTCAAGACAGACAGACCTTGATGTTCTCTGCCACCTTCCCAAGAAACATCCAGATGTTGGCCAGAGACTTTTTGAAGGAATACATTTTCTTGTCTGTCGGTAGAGTGGGTTCCACTTCCGCCAACATTACCCAGAAGGTGTTGCTTGTCGAAGACGATGAGAAGAGATCTGTGATCTTGGACTTGTTGTCTGCTGCTGACAATGGCTTGACCATCGTGTTTACCGAAACCAAGAGAATGGCTGACTACTTGGCTGACTTCTTGTACGACCAAGGCTTCCCCGCCACCGCCATTCACGGTAACAGAACCCAGTACGAGAGAGAGAAGGCTCTTGCCGCTTTCAAGAGCGGTACTGCCCCTATCTTGGTCGCTACTGCCGTTGCTGCCAGAGGTTTGGACATTCCTAACGTTCAGCACGTCATCAACTACGACTTGCCTACTGACATTGACGATTATGTCCACAGAATCGGTCGTACCGGTCGTGCTGGTAACGTTGGTATCGCCACTTCTTTCTTCAACAGAAACAACAAGATCATTGTCAAGGACATGATCTCTCTTTTGACCGAGGCCAACCAGGAGGTTCCTGACTTCCTTGTCAAGATCTCCAGAGAGTCTTCTTACGGTCGCGGCGGTGGCCGTGGCGGTAGATCCGGTGGTTTCGGCGGTAGATCCGGCGCCACTAGAGACTTCAGAAGACAAGGTGGCGGTGGCTTCGGTGGAAGCGGTGGCTACGGTGGCTCCAGTTACGGTAATGACTTTAGCAACTCCAGACCCCTGGGCTACTCCTCCAACTACGGTAACCAGAACCAGAGCACTTCCTGGTGGTAAGCCGGTGGTTGTTGAGGTGATATCACTTCGCATAGTTTGTTTTTTGTCGTTTTACTGTTTCATCTTTGCATTTTTTTACAAATAATCGATCTTGCTGGTTTCGCCCGCCCACCTTGCCAGTGGAGCGAGGTTTATTATGGTTGTCTGAATCTTACACAGAAGAGATGAAAGGAAAAATTTCTTGATCCACAAATGGGATTAGAAGGACGCTTTTTTTCTTCTTCACTTACACGGCTGACGGGTGTCACAGTACCCGTTGTTCGTTCTCAATTTTTTTATCTTGTTGACTTTTGTTGTTCACAGATCATGTTCTTTGGAGTTTACGCTTGCAGTTTGGTTTCAATTCGGTTGTGTTTGGCATTTTAACTTCACAAGAATGTGTATTATTACTACTATTATTTACATGGGCAAAGCGAAAGAAGATGGGATAAAAAAATTATACTCAAAAATTCAAAAGGGAAAAAATCTCCTTACAACAGGGCGGCCATGGTGGCGGCCCAGGTTTCCTTCACTCGTTTTTCGCTTTACATGGAATTTTATTTATCGGATTTAGACATTGTGGTTATTATATAGAGAGTATTATTTATATGAAAATGCAGCAATTTGTGCACCCTTGGCAGTCTCCTGTCAGCCTTGCGCCAAGCCCTTCCGGTGAAAGACGCTATTGTTCAACGCATGGACTGTAACGCGTTTAAAACGTTTAAATTTCGTCTTTTGATGTTGAATGAAATTTGCAGATGTGTCACAAGGTTTATGCTTTGTGAGATATCTTATATGGATGACTACATCAGGTACGACCTTCCCTCACGGCTGAAACACGTCGGCCATGCAGCTAAACTATACGGCATTCTCGAGAATGTTACACATTTTCAAAAAATTTCAAATTTTAAAGAAAAGGTCGTATACTTAAGATTGCTGATCCACCGGGTTCTTTTTCCAAAAGGCGGGAGGCAGTTTAGCCGCTCGAGCGACCATTCACAGCCTCGACCTTTTCGCAGCCACGATGCCGATTCAACCGTTTAGGCTAAGATTTATCACTTCAAAAATACCATTTCTTGAAAATCAGTGCTTTACTCTCCCTTCATCATCTCTTTTATGGAAAAATCAGTAGATCCGTCTTTTGGTGCTCGTCAACCCACTTGGATCGGTGTGCACATCGCTGCGCCAGTTTTCATCAACTACACTTCTTCATGAACACCCCCAAAAAGCTAAGGGCCGCTATGGTGGCGGTGGCGGTGGTGTATTTCGTGGCGGTGTTTTTCGGGAGCCTAACGCCGGGACATCCTAAAACATATACAGAGCACAACTCGAGTGGTCTTAAGGCTCAACGAAAGCAGGAACAGAATGTGAACTGGAAGCAGCACGCCGAAGATATACACACCAACAATATCAACAGGCTTCCCACGTCGGCAACGGTAAGGCAGCAATTGAGCTTCCAGTTCCCGTACGAGCCTCGGAAAGGTTTTCAAAAGAACATATGGCAGACGTGGAAGGTTGGTGTTGAGCATGGAGCATTCCCTACAAAGTACAAGCGGTTCCAGACAGGCTGGGAGGAGAAGAATCCCGGCTACAAGCACTACGTGATTGCAGACGATCAGTGTGATTTGTTGATCAACGACTTGTACGGGTCTGTTCCTGACGTGAAGAAAGCATGGAACCTGATGCCCAAGAGCATTCTCAAGGCTGATTTCTTCAGGTACCTCATATTGTACGCCAGAGGCGGAGTTTACTCGGACATCGACACCACGGCGCTCAAGCCCATCGATCTGTGGCTTTCGGCAAACGAAACTGTCTTTGGTCAGCCCAACACTGCAGGTCTTGTGGTGGGCATCGAAGCAGACCCTGACCGGCCCGATTGGGCAGAATGGTACGCTCGTAGAATCCAGTTCTGCCAGTGGACCATCCAGGCCAAAGCTGGCCACCCGCAGTTGCGTGAGTTGATTGCATCAATTACGGAGATTACTCTCACGAGACAGAAGAAAGGGCAGCTTCATAAGGTGTTGGGCAAAGATGAAGGCGGCGACATCATGAACTGGACAGGTCCGGGAATTTGGACCGATCTGGTTTTCGAATACTTGAACAACTTGGCACAGCCGCAGAAGAATAGAGATGAGGGTGTGGTGGAGACTCTTGTTGACTGGAAGATGTTCACCGGGCTTCAAAAGCCACGTATTGTTGAAGACGTAATGGTTCTTCCAATCACAAGTTTCTCGCCGGATGTCGACCAGATGGGTGCCAAATCTAGCAACCACGAGCTTGCTTACGCTAAGCACATGTTTCTGGGTTCGTGGAAGAATGATTGAACGACTGAGTGGTAATGAATGTGATGGACAAGCGTCACTGAATTTGATCCATGCCCATTGGCAGATTGCATGGCCTGCTGGTGATAATGAGGGTCTTAGAGACTGGAAAACATGGAAGACTCATTACTTCCTGGGCTTACGTCATGGAACCTACATCAGCTTCCTAACATATCCCTGAAATCCAGCTACTCCTCATGACCGCACTATAGCACGATCTACAACTTGTAACATAGCCGGGGCACACCATGCCCTCCACATCTACAAAACTATATTGCATTTAGATCTCACCATTGTTGTAGATATCTGACCAACTTATCGAACCAGAGAACCCATATGGTGCTTGTCTCACGTCATACTTTGATCTTTCTCAGCACCATTTCCGCCGATCACTTTAAAACCTTATTTCAAGTGGTGGGCCAATTTGCAGCATGGCTCCATCTAGAGCAATATTCCTACTACTCACACTGACCTCCGCGGAGATCTCTACACTGTAGTCCGACACAAGCCTCACGGAATCCCATAAAAACCTGAGCGGCTAATTTCAAAACTGCATTTCAAAAATCTTACAAGATTGCCCCCAAAGGTACATCTCGTATGACCCTGATGTGAGCAAAGCTTAGGGGGCAGCCTCATGGCCTGCATCCCAGCCAGGGACGGATCTGGAGCCCGTTCAAGAAATCCGGTGCCAATTACTCGAAACACCTACTATGCTAAAACCAGCTTTAGTCATTGTGGACCTTCAGAAAGACTTTCTTCCAGGCGGTGCCTTGGGTGTGCCCGAGGGCGACCAGGTTGTGCCGAAGATTGAGACTTTGCTCAACCTTGAAAAGTTCCCATGGCTGGCCGTGGTGATAACCCAGGACTGGCACCCCAAGGACCATTGCCTGTTTGCGCTGAGACACAATGCTGAACCATTCACAGAAATTGAGTTTGAACATCCTTGCGGGGAGAAGAACAGCAAAACAGGTGAAGTGAAGAAACACCCACAGACGGTCTGGCCCGATCACTGTATCCAAGAAACGCCAGGAGCCGACATTGAGCCCAAAATCTTGGATAAATTTGGCAATTCCGTGGCCAAGGTCGTACCCACGGCTGTTGTCAGGAAAGGTTACCTCAAGGACCGTGAATACTACCTGTGCTTCAGCGACTGCTGGAAAGTGCACCACACAGAGATCGAGGACTTCTTGATGGAGCAAAATGTCACCGATGTGGTCTTTGTGGGCTTGGCCTACGACTTCTGTGTTCTACATTCCGCTTGTGATGCGCTGAACTCAGGGTTCAACACATATGTGGTCAGGGACTGCTGCAAGAGCGTCTTTGCAGACCGCATCGAAGAGACAGAAAAGGCCTACAAGGCTTCTAATGTAAATATCGTGAATCTTCGTGAGCTAGTGCAGGCCATTTCGGCTTGAGTGTTTCTATGCACCGAGCTGAGCTCGGAGTAAGGCTTTCTGCCGTTCAAGGAGCATTCTTTTGACATCCTCGTTCGTCGGAAGATCGGGGTCTTGCTCAAGAGCAACAGCCTCCACTGGATATATCTGCTTACCGAGAGCGGCATTGATCTGACCCTGAACATACTGCTCATCGGCATCGATGGGCTCTCCGAATTGAAAAGACCCGTAATAGTCCAAAGGTACATACGGCTTCTCGGTCTTCTCCAGCAGGGGCTCCTTCTTCAGCACCTCCGGAAGCTCCCGAGCACGACCATAGTAACGTACACCATCAACGTATATACCCTGGCTCTTTGAAAACCTGATGTAGTCGTTTCCTCCAAGATTCTTGATGTGGTGCTCCCACGCACGCTTCTCTCGATGTAGCTTGTTCAATTCATCGTTAAGTGAACGTATTTCATGGAGATTAAGGCTCGGATCGCTAATATCGGTAAGTTTCACCGAGATCTCTGTCGTCACAGTCTGTCTCCACCTTTCAGCCTGCGGTAGAGACTCCACCTTTTGAACATATTTCGGCCGAAGCAGGGGATTGCTCTCTAGAACACCAGCTTCCCTTTCCTGCTGGGCATAGTATCTATGTAGTGTGCTCTGGTTCTTCTCCTTGTTTCTGGACATGTAGAGATGAGTTTCGCAGTCTGGATTATCAACACCGATAGCCTCACTATGCAAATGCTCATCACCACCATTACCCATAATACAACAAATTCAGTCGTTTCTTCCATTACCCTATATGCTAGTTTACATGCCTCTGAACTGGTTTTTACCTGCGCTTCTTCTGCCGGCAAAACGCTGCTTGGTTCTACCCTTCTTCGTCTCATCCACCTCTTCGTCCTCATCGGTTCTGAACTTGGGCTTCTTCTCCTTCTTTGGCTTGAAAGTCATCTCCATTTCGCCCTTTCCATGACGACGCAGTCTCGATTCGTCACTCTTTCTGTTCTTAGTCACCTTCTCGAGTCTGCTGACCTGCTTGTCGAAAGTCTCTGCATTTCTAGCCTCCGTCTCGTTTTGAGTCACGGCCTTCATGTCATTCATGAACCTCTCGGTCTCCTTTTGACGCTCCTTACGCTCTCTCAACTTGCTGATCTCCTTGGCAACCTTCTCACCTCTACGTTTCACAGCTTCAGGGTCCTCTTCAGCTTCACTCTCCTCGCTCTCTTCACTCTCGGACTCCTCCTGAATACCATTCATTCTTTCTTCATCAGACTCCTCGGCAGCAGTCAAACCACGAGGACGCTCGGTGGAAGTAACATCCTTAGTGGACCGCACAGGGTTGAGCTGCTTGTACTCGTAAGACTCTTCGTTGACGGCAAACTCCGGGTTCTCGAACAATTCGGCAAAACGGTCGTCGGTAGCAACATCCTTGCCCTCCAACTTCTCGTGCAAGTTCTTGTTGACCTTGACCTTGCTCTTGGTGACAGCACCGGTCGATCTGATACGGGACTCTCTCTCCTTTTCGATCTTCTTTCTGATATCTCTTTCTCTCTGGTCTCTGTACGAGTTGGGGTTGGCAATCAAATTGACCTTCTCGTACAACTCGGTGTTGATGAAGTAACCATGCATGTAAGATCTCAAGACACCAGATCCAATCAAGTGGCCCAAGTTCAACTTGGCCACGTCGTCTCTGGTGATGAATCTGTAGTTGGAGTAGACCGCATCCGTTGGCTTCTCCTCGAGCTCTTCGGTGATGTTGTCCAAGAAAGAGCACCACTTTGGCGCCGGACCGAGATGTGGAATGTAAAAAGCATGCATGGGCATACCTTCGTTGGCCATGAAGAACATACCACTTTCCTTGACGTATGCGACATCGTTGATATCCACACTGGGCTCCATCGAGGTGTAGGGCTTACCGTCGAATCTGCTCCAGATCTTGGCGATTCTCTTGTCTGATGTGAGGATCTTGTCGGAGTCGTTAGAATTTTCATCAATCCAGATGATCTTGCTCACATCAAATCCATAACCCTGCTCCTTGACCACAGAAGGTGTCGATGTTCTAAGATCATAGATCAATGCTTTACCTGTCGAGGTACCACATGCAAAGTTCAAACCGTCATTACGGAAAGTTGCCGCGGTGACTTGTAGTGAGTCGCCAAGATGCTCATTGACGAAAAGCTTAGCAGCACGCTGCCTACTTCTAGGGTCCCAAAACTCCACAGTTCCTTCTTCTAGAGCTGCTGCCACGAGACCATGCACGGGGTTGATATCGACTTGGTTGACTCCTTCCTCAGTATCCAAAACGTATGGATTAAGGAAACGTCCCTGTTCAAGATTGAGTCTGTAGATTTCGTTGCCTGAAGCTCCCACAAGCAAATCGCAGTTTGTCTTGTTGAATGCTAATGAACGACCAAACTTCGGTATTCTCGTTTTGTAATGGATACCACCCTTGGTATGAAACTCTATGGATCTATCGTTTTGGAGGTGGATTGACTTCGTCCAGTCATTGGAAAGGATCGTGAAGTCCACGTTCTCAGAATCAGTGTGTCTGTCGAATTTCAAGGACAAGTTCAGGAAATCGTATAAATGGATTTGTGGCTTGTAAGTTCCCGTCGCCATGACGTACTGGCCATCGGGAGTGACCTTTATCTTATTGGATGCTTCGCTGAATTCGAAATCTTGGATAAGCTCCACACGGTTCATGTAATCGGCATCTCTTTTGAGATCTCTCTTTCTCTTTTTGGCAATCCAGTCTGGCAACGAACGAGAGACGTTCGAGCCGGCCACCTGGTACACAGAGACATTACCAGCCGAAGTGGACTTTAAGACCATGGTGAATTCTACGTCTTTATGAGATGATCATCGCCTGAAAAAATACGTAGGACCGCTTGGTGCGCGTGCAGGAATCTAGCGGTTTCCATACTATCGCGCTCACTTTTTGCAGCCAAATAGAGGGTGGTCAGACGAGCATCATTTCTTCTTCGAAACTTCTGCACTTTTTTTGATCGAGGATCCACCACCTGGAGATTTGGCGGAAGCACCCGGGCTTTCGGCGTTGAGGAACTCGTATTCTTCTCGAGGCACAGAAACTAACTGACACCCTTCTATATCCCACTCAATGATACTGCCGGTACTTGGGTAAGACACTTTTCCGTCATCGAACGTAGCATACAATGGTACCAACGCCGACTTTACCAAATCCTCGCAGTCGCCGAGCTCAACCTTCTCAACAAGCATATCTAAGGTCTGCAAAATCACAGGCGACAATGCGATGTCGCTGTAGCATACATCATTCGCCATGTTGAACAAAGTGACCCAAAAGACTTCACCTTCTAAGTTGACCTCTTCCGTAGTATGTTTTCTGCAGAATAACAAAAGCTTGTTCAATGACTCGATGCAATCCCTCCTAATCAAGTCATTCAATGGCAACCCTTCAGTCGTGTCGAGAGCTACCATGGCTGCAATGATACTCGCAATCACTTTCTCAACACGGTAAGTTGTCAACTTGTCATTGACACTTGAGGCCAACCCTTCCTGTTTTGTAACTTCACGAATCTCATAGGTCGCCACGATGCTGGCTGCACGTACAAGGCATCCCAAGGAAGAGACCATCGAGCCGAACATCAAAACAGGACCCAAGTGCTCGAGCTCAGGAGCCGCAGTTGACATGCTGCTACCTGCTGGCAAATAGCTGTTCAATTTGGGATATGGTGGGAGTGGGGAGTAGTTGAAGACGTTTTGGAAAAGAGGGACCTGATCGAACATCTCTTCAAATTGAATACCTATGTTGCGGCTGACCAAGTAAATAGCATCACATAAAGTGGCGAGAAGGGACATGCTCCGAGCCTTGGAATTGTGCAACTTGTATAAGCCAGTGATATTGTGGAAAGCTAAGGCCTCGATTCTCTCTGAAGCAAGTTCAACACACTTGTAAAGAACGGGGAAACTGGAAAAGTTGAATTTGACACCATGGCACAACAAGCTACTGATAAAGAAAGGAGGATCATCGATAGCCAGATCGAAGGAAACTGATTGCGCTTGGTAGTGCTTCTCTATGATGGTCAACGCACCAGGCGCCAGTCCCCTCAAGGCCAAGTACACCAAGTGAGGCCTTTCCAAAATATAGGCTGAGATACGTTTGGCAGCTTTATTTTCAGGAAGGTCGGTGGTTTTACCAGCGGCAGTAAGAACCTCGCCAGTTGCCCTGGCAGAATGCAAAATGCACAAGGTCCCCACATCGCCGATATCGTCACGAAGAACAAGTTGTGCCAACTTTGTCAAGTTCACTGTAGATCCAGCTTTGGATTCCTTGGCGTACTTGGAGCTAATGGAGCCGGCCAACACGTCCGTGTCCAACTCTTCCACATCCTTTCTGGGCACTAGTCCCACCGCCTGTAAGATTTCAGGTAAGCTCTCCACAAAACAGGTAATGAAAGCTAGGTTCTCGTTCAAAGTAAGCTCGGGCGGGCCAGCACAATGGTTCCAAACTGAGGAGATGGCGCCTATGCTGGATAGCCTCTCGCCACGGAGAAGCAGATTCCACTCTGGGGGCACCCCCTCCCGAAAGCGTTTCACCAAGCCCTCGAAAAGCTTATTATCGGCAATGTGGGCCACAAGTAACTTAACAAAAGCCGAAACGAACGAAGCGGGAGCCTTTCTAGGAAGGAGGCAAGCCATAGACTCTAAGATAGAGGCAATGACAACAAGCTTTGAGTCTGGAATGCTTAACGCTATAGCCACATCTCTGGCGGTGAGGTAGGCTTGGGAAGTCAAAGTTTCACAATGGCTGTTTTCCTCGAAAGGATCGAGCATTAAGTTTTCCTTGGGGATCTTGTTAACAGAAGTCATTTTATAAACACAAGAAAACGATACAGAGGTCAGAGAGTCAGGGGTAAGTTGTTTCAGAGGTGTTACACCGAAGGAGGTGTCTCGGGCAGGTGCAAAATAATAATTCGTATCGAGGGTATATAAGCAGGGTCCTGCCCG